ATATATATACTTTATTTTATACATAAAATGTATGTAAAAAAAAAAAAAGAGTTTCCAACACCCGTCCCTCCATCCCGGTCCTCCCGCCTGCCAAGGCTTGAATCTGGCCTTTGTGAGCAGGCTAGGGGTTCGGCTTCGCGGGCTTCAATGGCTCGGCAGCTCGTATGATCCTCCGCGGTGACACCACTCGCTCGAATTTTATAGTCGTCACTAACTAAACACATAAAACACCTGGACTTCAGAATTAAACACGGCGTTGTCATTATTGTTTTTAAAATCTTAAAAATAGATCCAGCCGCTGCTCCGCATCCAGAAAAATTGCAAATGGCGGCTCAGTGAAAAGTTTCTGTGATCAAGTGACTCCTCTCCCTGACCAATCAGAGTTCCGCATTCACGTATCTGTCTGGACTCAGCTCAGCTGAGCTCGTTTGGTCCCACCAGAGAAGCAGGGACAAAAAGAGGTCCTGAATCAGCCTCAAATCAGTTAAAAATACTAGCTAAAGTGTCCTGATGCATGTTCAATAATCCAGGTAGAAAAATCTAAAAAAGTTAAATCTGGTCCTCTGGACATTCAAAAAAACAAAACAAAGTAAAACAACAAAAAAATGTAGAAACGTTTTGTCTTTCATCCGAAAGACTTCCTCAGTCTGAGGAGCTGTATTCAGCTCAGTCTTATAAATAAACAGGGGTGGAGGCCTACGTGTTCAATTGTCCCCCTCTTACAATGCTGTTATTGCTAGTATCACTCAGCCCTCTGTGAATAGTAAACAGCCATCAGTGTGCTAATGATCCATTGTTAGGCTAATGGTCCTTCTTGATCATGTGAGCAGCTGGTTTTTGTTGTCAGTAGCAAAACTGGTTGATCCACTCTGAGAAGGTGCTATTTATAAGACTGAGCTGAATACAGCTCCTCAGACTGAGGAAGTCTTTCGGATGAAAGACAAAACGTTTCTACATTTTTTTTTTGTTTTACATTGTTTTGTTTTTTTTGAATGTCCAGAGGACCAGATTTAACTTTTTTAGACTAGCTAAAGTGCTGGTGCAATAGGGTTCTTTCTGTGGCGGGCTGCCCAGAATTGGGGCTTATTAGGGGGGGTGCAAAAGGGGTATAAGTCTAGTGCCCCCTGCTTTGCAGCAGCTTTCCTGAAGACCTGTGCATTCAAAGCAGTCTTTCAGTCGAACCAGTGTTTCTTACCCATCCCTTTAATTTCTTTTGTGTTGGTCTGGAGCATCTCAGCAAAGGGAGGTAAGCAGGAGCCAAAAAGATTGATATGTGATCAGAGTCCGAGATGGGGGCTGGGTACGGCTTTATCAATGTTCCATCAATGTTTTTCTCTCTCTTGCAGAGTAATACATCAAAGAGCAGTGGCTTAGATCATCTAGTTGATAAGTTTGCAACCACTTTGCAAACTTCACTCGATAAAGCTTCTAGACTGAAAAAGAAAGTAATCAATCAGAGGAGATTAGCTCCTTGGTTCAATTCCGAGTTATGTACTTTAAATCAGATACCTAGAAAGCTGGAAAGAAAATGGCGCTCCACTAACGTTGAAGAATTTTACGGCTCAAGACTGTGGCTGAGTGGTTAGAGCAGTCGTCCTCCAATGCAAGAGTTGGGGGTTCGAATCCACCAGTAGTCACATGCCGAAATGTCCCTGGGTAAGACACTGAACCCCTCATTCAATTCAATTCAAAAATACTTTATTAATCTCAAAGGGAAATTATTTGTTGTTGTAACTCGTTATCCTCATTTGATTAAGAAACGTTATAGATACTGATGGCTGTAGGCAAGAAGGATCTCTTGTAAAGGTCCATCCCACAGTGGATCCTAAGATACTGGCTGCAGATGTCGTCCGATCCGTCCACCCAGACTCGGCTGGCCTCTCGGTTCCCCCGGGCTGTAGGATTGCCCGAATGCTGGGCAGAACTCCTCCCAGGATGGCCACACCTCCCAGCAGTCTGCCGAGCTCCTCGTCTCTGCAGACAGCTTGCTGCAGGTGTCGGGCGACAATCCTGTCCTTCCGCTGTCATGAGCCGTATTTCCTGCTAGTTCCAGGATCTCAGTGGTCAGGCACTCGAGCACAGCTGGCAGGCAGATGAGAATGCGTCCACAGAACATCCTTTTCAACTCATTTGAGATTTTGGGCTGTAGTTGAGATATTATTTGAGCTTTTGAGATGTAAACCAGATGCTGTTGGTTGTAGAAAACTGCCTTGTTGCCGTGGTTACGCATCATAAGAAATGTCTAAAACTAAAAAAGTTGCCTCTGGTTTGTGTCTCAATGGAGTATAAATGTGATAAAGCACTAATTATTCTTTACATATAGATATATCTATATATATATAGTAGTGTTGTATGAATAGGTAAATGAGGGCACAGATTGTGTTGTTAAGTGCTTTGAGTATCTTGATAAAATAGAAAGGCGCTATATAAGTACTGTCCATTTACCACTTACCATTTACCCTGGAGAGATAGCCTGCTAATGTACAAAAATACTCTATAAAACTAGGACTTTATATTATTCATCTTTAATTGATGAGAATAAAAATAACGCCAGGTATCCCATCTCAGTTGATTCATGTATCCCTACAACTATAAGCAGTGATGACTTCATGAGATTCTTTATAAATAAAATCAATCAACCTTTATTTATACAGGTAAATCCCATTGAGCCTCGAGGACTCATTTACAAGAGAGACCTGATTTCAACAAAGAAAGATGACAACAATGGACAACAGCAACAACAATAAACAGTTATAAAAAAAGCATACTACAGTTTTTTTTGTTTTTTTTTTAATAAATAGGATGGCTAAAAGGAAAAGGTAACAAAACAAAAAACAGCTAGATTCCAAGACAAATGTAGAAAACTAACAACAGGAACATGTCAGCATTGGACCCTGCCAGGTGTCCAACAGATTCTTAAAGACACTTAGAGAGGTCAAGGTCGAGAGCTTCAAATCTTTTTGTAAGATATTCCAGGAAACAGGAGCGGA